GTTTCGACTGATTAATAGGGGGTGTTTAGGCAGAAAATAATTTTGGGCGGCACCCCCACGAACGGTAATCGAAAAGGAGTGCGCTTCGGCGCTTTTATGGAGGCTGTACCACATTCAGCTTTTAGTCCATTTGGACGTGAAAGGAATGGTCAAAAGAATAATTAATAAAATTTAAGGGTCGTTGGGAGTAATGTTGCATTTTTTAATATGATCTGCTCTAGGACTGGATTCGGTCGGTTTGAGCAGTGGCGGAGGGAGAGGGTAAAATGGTTAAATTAGGTATGATAGTTAATTGATATTGAAAATTAGGTTGCGTTTAATTGTGAAATAGTTGGTCGAAAAATTTTGTGTTTGAATTCTGGCGGCCTCATTTTATAAGCATACGGTATACAGATTTGTGCAAACATCAATTATGTATAAGTCGGCTTTCTTACGAGGGAGCATGGTAGTAAATGGTATAATATATTATTGAAATCTTCCAACAACTCGATTTATTGATACTAAATATTTTTTTTAATATCATCATTCGAAAACGAACGACTAGGTAAATCATGAATTATTGGTTGGTATAAGATTTATTATTAAACCTTTATCAACAATTCGAGGTATTGATTAGGGGTGTTCAAACGGTGTGGTTAACATGGTAACCATTTTAACCAATACTATTTGGATTATTTGGTTTAGTTAATTTGGATAATTGGTTTGGTTTGGTTAAAATTTTTAGCTTGTTTGGTTTAGGTGGTTTGGTTTGGTCAGACACTCCTAACCAGCCAAACCAAATTAACCAGATAAATAATTAGTCATATATCTAATATCTAATATATACACATACTTAATACTTTGAATAACCACTCAAGAGTTAAACGTTCATCCCTTTTAGACTCATAAAATATAAAGTTTGATATTGTTCCGATAATGTATATTTGTATATGTAGAGTGTAGACCACAACATGCGAACACCTAATTTAAATAAATCTCATACATTGTATTGGATGAAAACTTGAAAGCAAGGTCCTTTTCAGCCTATAAAAATTGCTAAAAGACTAAGTCAATTCAAACAAACACAACAATTCATTAACCCATACCATTGTGATAAATTTTTGTTAGGTGAATACTTTTATACTAACCGTAAGATAATTGTCTTAGTTGCATGTATTTATGTTATGGGTCTACTATAACTATGTGTTGATTGTTTTGTTTTATTCATTATATAAATTGTGAATTGATAAATTATCTGAAATTTTCTCACTTAATGATAATGTGATTTTATATTGGTTAATATGGTTAACCAATTAACCAAACCGATTAAACATTAGTTTGGTTAATTTGGTTGTTATATTAGTCTGGACGGTTTGGTTATGATATTGTATTCCATGGTTAATGAAATTTAGCCTTATATGGTTTGGTAATAACCATGGTAACCATTTGAACACCCCTAGTATTGATACTAACGGTTCTTAACAAAGAACACCATTTGAAACACTACGACTAACTAAATCAATGGTTGTTTGGTATATATGCAGAGTGATATTCTTGATATTTTCGACTACTAATGCAATTTAATTTATCAAAAGTTTTCAACGTAAGATTATATTAAAAAAGCTATTTTATCATTTTTCTTTTTAGATGGACCCACCTTAAATGAAATCCTGGCTACGCCACTAGGTTTGGTCTAACCGATAATCGAAATGTTGGTTTTCGGTTAGCCAACTTACATGAAAATAACCATTGACCATCGAGCACGGTCCCCTACGGTTAGCCGCAAAATCGACGGACCGGTTTTCCGTTGTTATCATGGTTAGTCATGTAACCGAGAAAACGATGCATGGTTGCCTGCTCCGATGCGCTGCGACGCGAACCTGGTCAAGGAACAGAGGCATGGCGCGACAGGATGGAGGAAGAGGAGGAGGCGGACGAGCACGGAGGCGGAGGCGAACGAGCGATGGAGATTTGGTCTAGGACGGATGCGCGGCGCGGGGAGGGGAGAGGAGAAGAGAGGTTAGAGTTTTTTTCATTTTTGGGATTTAGGGTTCGAGGAGACGAGGACCAGATGGGGGGAAGGTTAAGGGGGTTTCGGTTGGAGGTTGGTTAGTCTGATAACCACGGTTAATCATCTCCTCTCTTTTCCCAGCCGATCACCGACCGCCACCACTTTTCGTTGGTTTTCGATTAGCTAGTAACCGACGGTTTTCTAACCGGCAGTTACCCGCTAACTGGAAATATATTGGCAACCCTAATCTGCGGGACTCGCCTTTTTTTACTTGTTTGGAGCGAGTATTACCCGATTCACAGTAGTGTGGGGTAAAAAATGCGTATTTTTTTCGACATGTCATGTTACAACCTGTTATCGTCTCATTCTACCATAATTTACATCAATATCTACATGTATTTCTTCTCTTTTGAGTTTTATAAAATTTGATTGGTTTTTTGGTTAGTAGTGTTCACCTCGTAGTGGTTTCGTAATTTTGTGTTGAAGCGTTGTAGTGACCCAGAAACATAAAATCATAAGTTTTTAACAACATAAGTTATAAAAACTGAGATTTTGTGTTGAAGCGTTGTAGTGACCCAGAAACATAAAATCATAGGTTTTTAAATTTTAAAACGTGATTTTGACTACATTGAATGCAACAAGCTAGGAACGTCATTCTTCGATCTATTTTGTAGCTAGAGGGAAACTACACCCGAGGGACTTTCTCTCGATAGTTTTTAACAACTTTGCTTTATTTTGTAGATTAATTAATCCAGACTCTGATTTGCTAGATAACAAGTTAGACTCTGAAGTAATCGTACATTTGCCCACCAGGATGATAAATGAACTTTACTTTTGCTATCCTACACTCAGTCGTTGGTTGCACTTGATCACAATTGGAATAGTAGAGTTAGTAGGAACGAGTCAATAATGTGCTAGTTAAGTTGAGATCGGGGCCCTCTTTCAAGAAAATTGTTTCAAATAAAGTAATCTTCTATGACGTAGACATTGCATGATCATGATATTTATGTATGTATATCAATGTGTTCTTTATTAAACAAAAGAACCTAGGACTTAGGACTGATTTCACGCTCGCACTCAGCTATTGTCGGATTATCAACAACTCAATTAAGGAAGTCGGCTAGATCACAACAAGGTTCAAAACATCAGAGGACTTCCTGTATAAATAATTTTATTATCATGTATTAGGTTTTTGTTATAAGGGTGAAATAAATTAATAAGTGTTTAAAAAGAAAACAAAAGAAACAGGGGAAGCACCAGAGAAAATAGCTCGGGCCACCCACAAAACAGAAAGACAAGTAAAGGAAAAATGAGAAGAGAAAAAACAATTGCAACTACAACAAATACAAAGATCGGACCAACCAATGCAGTTAAGATCGCGATTCTATCTAAAAGCGGAAAATGGATAAAATCATAAAACGTAGAATTATATCATATTGAAGCTGAGAATGCATCCAAGACCTGCTATGTATCTTTTAATATCAAATATATCATATTGTTGGTGACTTACCTTTAAAATATACTTTTTATAATTAATTTCATGAAAAGAATACCAATTTAGTGAACTAAAAGCGTAAAAACGTAAAGCATTCTGGTGAGCTAGAAGCGTAAGCTTTTAAGCTTTAAAACGCAATATAGTCTGATTTTATACACTAAAAATTTTATATGGAAACGAAAGTGTTTTGGTGACCTAGAAGCGTAAAATCGTAAGTTTTTAAGTTTTAAAGTACGATTTTGACTGCATTGGAACCAACGAAAACGCTAATCAGAGTCCTCCAACCGCGGAACAAGGGGTATTAGCGTGGATCTGGGCAGAAGACGATACTTCAAAGTAGAAAACTAATGCTCTGCCACGCCTCGATCAAACTGAGTAAAAACAAACCAGCAGGGGAAGAAAAAACCCTCTGGTCACAACAAAATCAACAAGAGTAAAACTTATACTATGAACCAAGAGCCAAAACTAATCAAGCCCATAAACTATGCAGGTTTTCAGTTGGGAACAGAACAACAATATCATATTTAATTTGCTCAACAATCTCCTGGCATTGCTTCTTTCCCCCACCATGCTTCTGCACACAACGTTCTCGCCAGATATAACTGACAATAGTCCTCCAGATTGCCATGGCCACTTGTTCCCTCGCTTGCTTCCCTTTAAACTGAATAGAGGCCCACTGCAGTTCTGCACTCCAGTTATCAGTTGGAGTTCTAGGATAAACTCGAGCCAACAGACCTGCAAACAAATTCTTAAACATACTGCATTCAGTAAACAGATGATCTCTGGTTTTTAGAGGGCAGGAACAGAATATACAATGAAAGGGACCTCTGCCACCCCAATTTGCAACTTTGTCACTGGTTGTAATATAGTTCTTGATAACTAACCACACATGGAACTTATCCCTTGGAGGAGATGGGCCCTTCCAGACTAAGGACCACCAAGGAACAGGGACCTCTTGAGGTCTGAAAGACTCCCAAACCAGACTAATACTATATTTCTTCATTTCAAGAATTTATTAAGGATATTTGAGAAAAGTTTTTCCGCTATTTTTCCAAAAAAATTTATTACGATTCTGGTTAATAGTTAAATAAATATTTTGGTAAAAGTTGTATTTGGCCAGATTAGTGTATATACGTGATGTATCTTTTTTCAAGGGGAATCTGTATGATCTGTCATTTTTTACTTAATGGATGAAGAGTGCTACGGCTACCAAATTTGACGAAACTCTCCTATCCAAATTGTCTTCTACTCTTTTTTTAGTGCGGTTTCATAAAAAAAAATTAGGGCGGGAGGTTCGGTTATCGGTTGTCAGTTAACCGGCCGGTTAGACCGATATACGTTGGTTACTGGTTAACCGACTAACGGAAAAAGATGTATGCGGGCGGTGCTCGGTAGGGATATTGGAGGTGGCGGTTAACCGGCTAACCGATGGATCTAACCGTCGGTTAACCGGCTAACCGACACGGCCAACCCCCCTTCACAAAACGCCGCCGCCCACTCCCACTCTTCAGAGTTTCACCAAAAAGAAGCCTGCCTAACCCTAATTTGTCTTCGAGGCTTCGACTTCGTCTTCCTTCCCCAATTTGCTGAATCGACTTCGTCCTTACTTCCCTTCTCTGCATCGACGACGCCCACTCGCCGCCCAGCCACACAGTCCCCCGACGGCCGCCGTTGTTCCTCCGCCACCAGCACCAGTCCCCGCCGCCAACCCTCCGCCGACTCCATCTCGTCCCTCGACCTCCAATCCATCTTATTCTCTCTTCTTCCCAGGCAACAACAGTAAGTCCGTGAGGGAAGTGAGGAGGGTGCAAGAATTGGAGAGGGAACGAATGGAAATTACAGAGACAGGGTAGGGGAGGAATTTGAGCTGCTTGAGCTTGAAGTAGAGAGAGGAAATTAGAAATAGAAGGCGATCGTTGAAGCTTGGAGAGCGAGGGCAAGAAAGGTCGTTAAGGAGGAGGAAGAGGGAAGAGACGAAAGGGTAGTGGGAGAGAAAGGAAGAGAAAGACCGTAAGAGAGCTGCGGTTGCGGCGACGGAGGAGGAATTGGCGTTCTGGTGCTGGTGGTGATCGAGAGTGATTCTGAGGGACATGGAGGTTTTTGAAGCTCTGTAGAGGAAGAGCCACCGTTTGGAAACCAGAGGAATCGATGGAGGTGTGGCCGATGGATTCTAGTGAAGATTTCTTGGAGCAGTTCGTCACAGAGCACCTCGTCCATGGATTTTGATTGACCAAAAGGGAGAAAAGAAAGGAAAGGGTTAAAACTGGTGTGCATTGTGTGTTGCGGTTACTTCGGTTAACCGAGCAACTAACCGGTAACAGACCGATCGGTTGCCGGCTAACTGATGGCTTCCGTCGGGCGGTTGGCGGTAGGCAATGCTGGTGTCGCGGTTATTATAACCGAACTAACCGAAAATCCAGCCCTAAAAAAAAGAAAGGGTTCCTAACTTACTGCTAGGTTCTGACGACCTCCCAATCTGAGCTGTCAGCTGAGCACAACAAAAGGCAGAAAACGGTCGAGCTCACAGACCCAACTCCCGACTTCTCTCCTTCTTTCATCCATGAAAGAAACGACGCCGTATTCCTTTGATACCAGCCCATTACTTCAGAATTTTATTATTCCACTCTCTGCCACCGAGAGGGGCTAAGATCAGGTGACTAAGGGGGAGTCCCTTAGTCACATGGCTAAGTGAATCTCAGCCACTCAACCTCATTAAAATCCAAGGGCTCCTATTAATTCAATTTAATGAAGGGCAGTATAGTAATTACATGTTTATTATATTTATCAATTAAAATAAAAAAAACCTGCCACTAACTACCGTCGTCGCGGCCCGCGGGCACTTCTCCGGCTCGGCGACATGACCTGTTTTCCCAGTCCCGCCGGCGGTCCTCTCTGACGCCGACGATGTGGGGAAATTCTTCGGCGGCGTGGGCATGTTCCTAGGGGGAGGGTGGCATTAATTCCATTTTCCCTCGATAGATAGATAGATAGATAGATAGAGAGAGAGAGAGAGAGAGAGAGAGAGAGAGAGAGAGAGAGAGAGAGTTTATTTTGTAATGTTTGTACGCTTTGTTATTTTGTAATGTTTGTCGGGTTTTTTTGTAATGTTTGTACACTTTGTTATTTTGTAATGTTTGTCGTTTTTTTTGTAATGTTTGTAAACTTTGTTATTTTTATGTATCGTGTTTATCATTTTTGTCAATCATGTTTGTAATGTTTTTTATGTCTAAAAAGCACCCGGGTTGACTTTCGGAAGGAGCCCCTCTATATAGGGATGGAGCCTCCAAAGTCAACCCGGGTGTTTTTTCAGTTCGTATGGATTGTCGGTATAGTTTGTCATTTTTGTCCACCATGTTCGTACTGTTTGTATGTCTAAAAAAACACCCGGGTTGACTTTGGGAAGGAGCCTCCAAAGTCAACCCGGGTGTTTTTTCAGTTCGTATGGATTGTCAGTATAGTTTGTCATTTTTGTCCACCATGTTCGTACTGTTTGTATGTCTAAAAAACACCCGGGTTGACTTTGGGAAGGAGCCCCTCTATATAGGGATGGAGCCTCCAAAATCAACCCGGTTGTTTTTTCTTTTTGTATGGTTTGTATTGTATGTCGGTCTAGTTTGTATTGTTTGTACAGTTCATACGTTTGTAATGTTTGTAAATCTGTTTGTATGTTTTGTCGCTCTAGTTTGTACTGTTCGTATGTTTGTATGGTTTGTACTGATTCTTTGTCCAGTTTGTATACTTCGTAATTTTCCATAATACCCAAACTACCCCTGTCATTAATTAAATAGCCCTTCCAACTTTTTAACCATCAGATTGATGTGTTCAGATTTAAGGGCTGGGGGGCTTAGTCAAGTGACTAAGCACCCCCTAGTCACCGGATCCGCACTCCCACCGAGAGAGAGACGCTCTGATGCCGCCACTTCGCTTACGTACATTTCTTTCCCCAACAGCTTACGAAGTCCGCCATTTTTATAACACCTCTCAGAAGTCAGACCTCCCACCTCATTCTCATTCTTCCATCTCCCCATCCTTCCACTCTCTCGCCTTTTCTTTCTCTTTCCTCCATTTCCTGTTGCGTTTATCGATCGGTCGTCGTACATTCCCGGCGACAGACGACAAGGAATAAATACAACACACCACCGTAGAAACCGATCTCCGCTAGCTTCTCCATCTGGCCGGTCAAACAGAGACAGCGCCTCCCCGAGCGGTGCTCCAGGAAGCGATCACAGCCTGCTCAGCTTTTTTCCTCATCTCCTCCTTCGATAAAAGGTTCGTCCGAACAATCTTCTTCTTGATTGCTCTCCGTGTGGATTTGCATGGCTAGCTGTTGCTTGTTGAATAATTCACTGGCAATTCGATCCCTGTTTCGTTGATTCGGTGATCCACCTGCCACCTGCAATCTTTCTTCTTCTTAGATCTGGATCCGATCGAATTAGTTTCCAAGCCTTGTAAGCTCAGTGATCGCGTGACGAATTTCATTTTCGCTGGCTTAATTCGTTTTTACCGGTCCAGGAGGTGAAACAGAGCTTCTTCTTTTTTTATTCCACTTGAATATTCCTGAAAATGTTTGAATGGCGCTTGTTTTTTTCCTGACTTTTTTCAGAAAGATCAACTCTTTGTTGAGCTGCCCCGCCCGCCCCATCATGTTTCGAAGGAAGCAACAGAATGGTCAGGAGATTGACCCTGCACAGAGAGATGCTAAGGTAAAGAAAGCCCTTTTGTCCGATTTGAAAAAAACCTGAACATGTGGTTGATTGGATTAGTAATGATCCAATTTCCCCTGTTTCTTCCCCCTCTTGTTTTTGGGTAGGTGAATGAGCTACGAGCTGCTTTAGGGACTCTGTCAGGCAGGAAAGCAAAGTACTGCACCGATGGATGCCTGCGGAGGTACTTGGAAGCTAGGAACTGGAACGTCGACAAGGCTGCGAAAATGCTGGAGGAAACTCTCAAGTGGAGGGCCACATATAAACCTGAACAAACCCGCTGGGTATGCAGTTGCAATCATGACAACGACTCTCACCTTTTTTCTTTTGTTTCTTCTTGTTGTTGGATTACATGTTGTGAATGCCTTGTTGCTTGCACAGCACGAAATAGCGCACGAAGGGGAGACGGGTAAGGTGTTTCGAGCCAATTTCCGCGATCGTGCTGGGAGGACAGTGCTGATAATGAGGCCTGGGATGCAGGTTAGTGTCAGGGTTACAATTCTTAACTCTCCCCGAGTACAGCAAACTGAAACAAAAAGGGATTGTTGCTAAAGTATGTATGTATATATATCTTCTTTCTGCATTGCAGAACACCAACTGTGCAGAGGACAACATCCGGCATCTGGTGTATCTCATCGAGAACAGCATTCTCAACCTTCCTGAAGGCCAAGAGCAGATGTCGTGGTTGATTGACTACACAGGGTTTTCATTGAACACCAGCGTCTCCATTCGAACGGCTCGTGAGATCATCAACATTTTGCAGAATCACTACCCGGAGAGGCTCGCCCTTGCGTTTCTTTACAGCCCGCCAAGGATTTTCGAAGCGTTCTGGAAGGTCAAATATGCTCTCCTGCTCATCTCTGTCAATTGTGTGATTGGTCGTAGATAGTGATTGATATCTTCGTTTAATTTTTAATACTTGCTTTGTTGTTGTTGTCTACTAGGCTGTGAAATACTTCTTGGATCCAAAAACTTCACAGAAGGTGAAGTTCGTGTACCCGAACAAGAAAGAGAGCGTGGAGCTCATGAGCTCCCTCTTCGACGCTGACAACCTTCCTAAAGAGTTTGGTGGGAAGGCCACGTTGCAGTATGATCACGACGAGTTCTCTCGGTTGATGGCTCAAGATGATGTAAGAACTGCAAAGTTCTGGGGATCGGATGAGAAGCCAGTCCCCATTTCCAGCAGTCTTGCTGTGAACCAGGTCGCCCCAGAGCCATTGCCTCTGGCCCCAGCTGCCAGCTAGAAGCTATAGCTTTGTCTATCATAGAATATCAAGCAAGTCTTACCTATGAGAAATCCAAAATGGCGGAACAAAAAGCAACTGAAAGGGAACTTCCTCATCTAATTTATTATTAGTGAATGAGTTTATGAATTACCGGTCTAAATTGATGTACTTGTTTAACAGTTATTGTTATATGCAGATAGAACACAGTTTGTCTCTAAAAACATATTCCTCGACTCTTTGCTCTTATGCTGCTTGATGTATTTCCATCTTGCCTATTGGGATTGTAAGAATGAAACAAATGAAAAGAAATGAAACCTCAATCATTCTCTCTTTGACATCATTCAAGCACACAATTGGCATCTCACCTTACTGAAAGGGAGAGAAGTTTTGACTCCGAGCCAGAAAGGGCTAGCAAACACTTGCTTATCGAAAATGTGAAGGGGGTGAGTTAACTATTGGAAATGAGATGTAGGATTCGACTGCTATGCAACATGAAAAGATATTCTCCAAAGCGTAGATAGTCTAAGTGACTGAAGTAGCTTATGATACACGAAACTCCATTCATTACACGGTCTTTGTACGTATGGATTAGCAGTTCTATAAGCATTAATCCAGGAAGAGGCAAGATACAAGCACTGCATCACAACTTAACAGAATTAATCTCCAGTAGTTAAAACACGGTTCTACAACTTAGCAGTAATCATGCTCAGTAGTTATACTAAGCCACAACTTCAACTGCATTCATCCTCCACAGTTACGCTACGCTACAACTTATCAGAATTCAGCCAAAGGAGTTACTCTGTACAACGGCCATTGAAAGGCAGCGTAAGCTCCCTGGATGCTTGTTTGGTCACAGCTCATTGGAGTAAAGACACTCATCGACGAGTTGGCGGAGATTAGGATTCTCTAAGGCTGCAGCAACTCTTTCCTTGTCATTTCACTGCTTATTAACTGCGAAATAAGGGGCTAGGAACATATCAAAATGTTGAAGCCACAATGCCAATTTGTGTTAGAAACCGAATAGACAATAGGGTTACCGATCTGGCTGAGTCGCGGACTAGGTCGCTCTCTTTAAGACGTTCGCGGCACTGCCTCGTTATTCGCACAGCAGACTATCAGCCGGTCGCCTCCAGGATAAAACAGCCACTCTTTTGATTTGCTCAACGGTTTTGTGCGGAAAACCGGAGCTCTTTGAATCTCACTCTCTCGTGTTTTTGCTCTTCTGAGGTGTGTTTAGAGGGTCTGGGGCGTCTCCTATTTATAGGAGCAGAAAACCCAGAATATTCCCTCTTTCTTTGGGAATAAGTCATATTTTAATTAGGAAGATAATTACTCCCATAATTAAAATATAATCTATTAAGATAATTATTCCTAATTATCTCCATAATATTCCTTTTATTAATTATCCATCTTATTTATGTATTATGGGAAAATACTGGATAATTAATTAGGAATTTCATTTATAGCTTTTCAAAGCTATTCATCCCAACAATCCCCCACTTGAATAGTTTGGAAACTATCTTGAGCATCAACAGTTCCATAAGATCGGGCATAAGCTAAGGTATCGCGAAGATTTGAACCTTAGCGTAGTGGTTACACTTCCGATTTCATAAGGGTGACTCGTAGTCTTGAACCCTATCTCAGACAATGTAGCACACCGGATCTTTTCATTGAGTGATATTCTCTCATAGGCCGTGCGTTTATGGCCATGCACGTTATCCCGGTTTAGTGAACGCTCTAGCAACTTTGTGCCTCCAAAGTTCCTAGGGAGCGGCCTCACTCCCACATTCACATAGGTGAGTCTATCAGAAGTACCCCCAAAGTAAAGTAATTCACTCCACATAGAGTATAGATCTCATTAAGAGTTTAACTCAACCTCCAAGACTTTGGGATTCATGCTTCACCATGCATGAACTTTTCTCAATATTACTCATGACTTGTTATTACCCATTGAACCCGTTTCTTGGGATCTCCAGTCTATCGGGTCGGGTTACCATCACTTGTAATCCTTGGTTCGGTAGGCATAAGTCTCATACCCTTGGCGGTACTTTGGACTTTCTCTCTAAATAATCCTTTCGTCAAAGGATCAGCTAGATTCTGTTAGGACCTTACAGGATCCACCCTCATTGCTCCTATCGTTAGGAGTTCTCTTACAGTACTGTGCTTACGACAAATTTGTCGTCTCTTTTCGTTCTAGAACCGGTTCCCTTCTTTAGTAATAGCTGCGGCGCTATCACAATGAATCAACTACCGGAGGGATCGGCCTTTCCCATAAGGGAATCTCTAGTAATGACCCTCTCAATCAACTTTTCTCTTTACTAGCCATTGCTAGCTCTATCATTTCTGATTTCTTAGTTGATTGAGCCAGGATCGTTTACTTCTTAGACTTCCAAGACATAGCTTCTCTATCGATGTTTAAAACACATCCTCTTGTTGTCTTGGAGTGGTCTATAGGGTATTCTAATCCGCATCACTATACCCTACCAATACAGCAAGAAACCGTTGGTAACATATATCAAGGCCTACTGTTCACTTAAGGTGTCTCATGACCCTTTTCAATAGCATTTCAATGCTTCATACTAGCTCTTAAAATTGTTAGAAACCAAACAGAAAAATTAGGGTTACCGATCTGGCTGAGTCACGGATTAGGTCGCTCTCTTTAAGACGTTCGCGGCACTGCCTCGTAATGCGCACAGCAGACTATCAGCCGGTCGCCTCCAGGATAAAACAACCATTCTGATTTGTTGCTCATCAGTTTTGTGCGAAAAACCGGAGCTCTATAAATTCACTATCTCTCGTGTTTCTGCTCTTCTGAGTCGTGTTTAGAGGGTCTGGGGCGTCTCCTATTTATAGGAGCAGAAAACCCGGAATATTCCCCCTTTCTTTGAGAATAAGTCATATTTTAATTAGGGAGATAATTACTCCCATAATTAAAATATAATCTATTAAGATAATTATTTCTAATTATCTCCATAATATTCCTTTTATTAATTATCCATCTTATTTAAGTATTATGGGAAAATACTGGATAATTAGTTAGGAATTTCATTTATAGCTTTTCAAAACTATTCATCCCAACAATACGTCTAGGAAAGTCAATGACTTTCTAGAGCTAGGGTTCTTTTCCACTTTCCCAGAATCATCAACAATAGTGGTGAGGGTCTTGCCCAACAACACTTTCCCCTTCAATACACCTCAATGTATGATTGAGCTTAGCTCTTTTGTCATACACATGTCTTGAGGCGCTAATATCCAACCACATTCTTCAGAGTTACCATTAAGGCTTTCCTCTGTCATCACCTTAGTGATCATTACCATCAAATCCTCTTCTTTAGTCAAGTTTACACTAGGTTAAACTTGTTCTTACACTTTCGTGTTATATGACTTAGTTTCTCGCAATTTTAGCATAGAAACATATCGTCATTCTTAGAGGATTAGGTGGCAATCTTATGGTTACCACGAAGTGTACCATTCTATTTGGTATGGATCTGGTTCAGCTTGTTGCTCTCATGCTCTAAGCTTTAAGCTTTCAGAGCAACATAAGTGGTTCATTTAGTACTGGCAATTCCTCTTTGTTGTCACTATGGACAATTGACCCATTCTATTCCCATACATTCTTAATTTGTATAAACAAAATCATTCAATTCCATAACATGAATTCTAATCATCGAGGTAACACGTCTCGATGTCGCCTTAAACATGCATCAATTCTATTTTACTTTCTTGCATCTATATAGTTTTTCAATAACATGCATAAAACTCAATGGAATAGATTCTTATTTATCATATATTATTGACTCTCGAGAACGGTTTCAGTTCTTACCTCTTTTGAGAAACCATTGCATTCTCATTTTGCAACGAGTAGCTAATACCATGGTTAGCTTCTTTCTTCCTCGTTCGGTTTCTTGGTGAAGCTTCAACGTAGCAGTACTAGTTTAGTCGTGACCCTTTATGGCTGCTACTACCAATTCTATTTTCTGAACCAAGGAATCAATCCAAAACACCTTTCCATCTCTCTGTGGCTCACCCACAACAAAGATCCTAATGGAAGGGATAAAGGGAGGCGCCTTTTAGTGATGAAGAAACCGCCACTTTTTTCCCAAACTTATTGATGCCATACTTTTCCTGGTTCGAGAAAGAAAGCTCCAAATAACAACAATAATCATAATCAAAATAACATATGATTAAACAAGGAAATTAAATCTCCACAATCCCATGTCGGCGAGTACAAGTCTCTGTAAGCCCCTGTACATGGCTTCCCTTTTTTTTTATGGGACAAAGGCCCAATAAAGAAATGCTTTAATGGAATGAACACTATCCATCTCACGAAGGGAATTAATTCAACCGTAATTAAAAGCGAACAGATAACACTTAGGGGTCGTTTGGATCAGGGAAATTGGGCAGGGATTTAGCCCAAATTCTGGCCCGTCCAGGAATTTAACCAATATCCTTATTTGGATAGATATTAAAATAGCCGAGATTTGGGCTTCAGGAATTGTTAAATCCGGCCCAACCCGAAATTGAAATTAGCTGCCACCCCCCAGCTATTTCAAAATCCGGCCCTAATTATTTTGTTCTTCCCAGCGTGTCCCGACCCTCTTTCCTTAATCTATATGTCTCAGAGATCGTTCTTTCCTGTCTCGCACCAACAGAGAACGACGACTTAATAGCAGTAGCAACAATCCCTCCGGCGACTTCTCAATCGGTAGCCAGGGACTCGAGGCGGCATTGATTGCTCTCCCTCATCCTGTTATTGCTCTACGACGACCAGAAAGGTTGAGCAGAAGGGCGAAATACAAAGAGGATGGACGGATCTAGGATCTCAGGCGAAGTCCCATTGAACCATAGAGAAGAAGGTCGGAGTTCAGGGCGAATCGCAGAAAGACAGATTTGGGGCTTATGGAGACGACGCATCGAACCATACAGAAGAATCTCGGAACTCAGGGCGAATCATAAGGATAGATCTGTCGTCTCTAGAGACGAGCGACGAATCGCAGATAGGAAGGTCGGACTACCGCTATTGAGCGATTGGAACCGTCGTCGCAAACCTCTATTTTTGGGATCCCTCCACCGTTGATTAACCATCAATTCCTCCGACTCCATCCCAAAAGAAGAAGAAGCTGAGCTGGATCCACTGGCTGGTGTGGGAGGAGGTAGTAACGCCGCCGATGCAGAGGAAACCCAGATCTAGCGCCTTCAGCTCCGTCGACAATCAAGCTCACGGTGGAGATGCCGCCGAGTATTGCATGTGGTCGATTTGGAGCAGATCGGGGAATGCGCGCCAGGTTGAGTACCACCGGTGAATCTAGCCAAAACA